TGTACTCCCTAGTGAATGCTCCGGTTTTGACCGCTGGTTGGACACTACCAAATCTAGGGGCCTTATGGCCAACTGGGACATGACTCCTTAAGGGTCTAGTCTGTCAGTAATAGACCAACGCTCCTTAAACTCCTAGTAGACAATTCAGATTCGGACCAGTTGACATATGCTGCCAAATCTAGGAGCATAAATACCAAGCAGGGCGCAACTCCTACATGCTCTGTCTCACCACATGGCTGCCATATTTGTACATGGGCATGTGTCAGTTCAGTGATTTTTCTTCAAGATATCCTTACTTGATAGTTAATAAGGGAACTTGACAGCTTGGGATTGGTTAAGATGGAGTACAGTCCAGTCTGTACATCCAAATGTGTGGGTGGTTCTATAGCTCCTTTCGTAGACGATTATTGTAACACCATCCGGATGATCGTTATACCACTACACCTTAACGAGAAGATCACAATCCCAACACCTGCTGGATCAGCATATAAAATGGCTTCTTATGGGAAACGGCACATAATTGATCATGATACCAGATACCATGTTAATCTATTCAATCGCCTTCACATGGAATTGAACTGGTATCTTGTGATCTGATCTGCGAAGCACTAACCACTGTGCTATGGACCCACAGGTCTTATATTATTTATATTATTTAATTATTTATTAACTATTTTACTATAAGAGAATAGATTTATTAAGTTATTATTATACAATATTAATTATTTTAATCTTTTTTAAATTTTAATTTTTTCAAATATAATTGTGAAAAATAATAATATAACTTTTTAAAATCAAATATTAAATTTAAATTTTGAATTATAAAAATTAATCTATATTTATACTATTATTTTTGTATAATTTCATAATTCTAAAAATAAAAAAAATTTTTTTTATATTAAAAAATAAAACTATTTTAAATTAATTTCTAGTTTAATTATTTGCAGCTAAAATAATAATAATAATTTTATTATTTTTATTGCTAATTAAAAATATTTAAGATATATTTGTAACAAGATTTATTTATATAAATAATTTTTAATTTTTATAACTTAAATTGATTTTTTTTAAAAATAATTAACAATAAAAAAAGTTTTTATTAAATTGAAATAAAATTTTTCTTTGATTTTTTTTAAAAAAAACCAATATAAAAGAAAAAAAATATAATGTTAATTATTTTTTATCAAAATAAATATCTTTTTTATTATAATTAATAATATTATCAAATTTGTTATTGTATAAAATAAATGTATATATTTTATATTTTCTGCTATATATTAATTAACTAATTCAAATTTTTAATTAATTATTTTCAAAAGTTTTTAATATAATAAAAAATTCAAAATTAAATTGAAGTAAGCAAAATTTTTTAAAAAAATTAAAAAAAATTTAAATCTTAAAAAAATAAAAAAAAGGATTTAAGAATAATAAAAAAATTTTTAAAAATTAAATAGATATTTTTTAAAAATTTAGAATCTAAAAAAAAAAAATGAAATATACTTTTTAACATGTTTTATTTTATAAATAATTTTTTTTGTATTTATTTATAGAAATGCAAAAAGTTTATTTTAAAAAAAGAAACAAACAAATAAGATAATATTGTTATTATATATATATATACAGTATATAGACTTTATTACAAAGAAATAAAAATTTTTTTTTGAAATGTTTGTTTTTTAGATTGACAAGAAAATAAATAAAAAAAAGTTTTTTTTAACGTTTTGTTTAACAATTTTTATTTTATTTTTTATATAATATAAATATTATATCCTCTCTAAATACATGCATTTGTCTCAAAAAAGTATATTTCTTATTTAGGAAATAATAATTCGAAAAAGTTATTTTTTTAAATTAATAATTGTATATTTTTTTTTGAATTAGAAAATTAAATTTTATATACGCGGATTGAGAATATTTTTACAACCAGCCTTGCTTTAATAATATTTTGTCAAACCATTTAAGATCGTCTTAATTCAGTTGTTTTTTAATAAAGAGAACATCAATATTTGTTCTTGATAAGTTTTTTTTTATTCCAAAAAAATTTTTTTTTAATTTTTTCGAAGCAGAAGACTATTATAAAAGAACTCTTTTCAAACTAAACTACGCTATTATTACTATTATTTGAGTAATAAATTTTGAGAATTTTTTATTCTACGCTCTATATTGAATGCATCCTCACAAGAACTTCGCTAATATCATTTCTATAACAGACCGTCACTCACCCAACAGAATTACTTCGTCGTCATCTAAATTATCAGATTTGTTTACATCCCGAGGTAATGAAAGGCTATGAAGCCAACCAATAAATGCAGCGATGGATAATACAATGAACACAAAAAAATTATCAAAAGGAAAATTTCGATTATTGGTCAATGACCAAGACCATAAGAATCCACCAAATGCAGGACCAATAGAACGGACAAAAGACGCCAAGGTTTGACCAATTCCATTAACAGTTCCCAATGTATCGGAGCTTGTAGAATTGTTGATCTGGAATAATGTAAAATTGAGTTCGTACATATCACAAGTCGAAGAATAAGAAGACCAAGTGTTAAACGCTTACGAATATCATGACCGGCGTAAATGTGCAAACACCCAGAAAATACCTAACGGTCAGAACGGGTAATAGAGAATACCAAACTATCGTTTCACTCCATTTTACCTCGTTTTTAGACAAATATATTTCAAGCTTATTGATCAATGGGAATAACAAATAGACAGGAATATAGGTAAACCAGCAAATATGGTATAATTTCAACATATTGACTCTGCACGTGATCCAGGGAAAGATTATGAACTGAGAGGTAAGCTGAACACCTCCCATAATAGTCAATGATAGAGCCAACTTAGTAGCATGAAACCCAAGACCACCAAATTGAACTGCAGTAACTGTGTAAAGTGTGTAAATTTCTTCCATGAAAATCGCGTGAAAAGATAGAATAGCGTAGCTGACGATGGAAGTCCACGCGGCGGACGGAATATTAAATGTAGAAACAATTTTTTGTTCATCGCTTTTAACCTCTAGATCATTTGTCAAACTTGCCACACTCATGTCTTCCAAAAATTCCTCTTCAGCGTCTCTCGAATTGCCTTTCATTTTCGGGTTACCGCTACGATCGAAGGGTTGTTTAGATAGATCGGAATAATGGCTATCTTCAGAATCGCTGTTGTAATGGTTAATTGCACCATAAGACTTTTGAATATGTGAGACGTTAGAGTTAGCGTCAGGTGACTTGATGGCATTTGAACACGAAAGGGTTTTGCGTTCAAGGTCTTGATTGCGATCGGTTCGATTACGGGTTTCGGGTAA